GTGTGTGACGACTGTTGTATTCTGTTAACGTGTGTGTGGCAACTGTTGTCTTCTGTTAACATGTGTGTGACGACTGTTGTATTCTGTTAACTTGTGTGTGACGACTGTTGTCTTCTGTTAACATGTGTGTGGCAACTGTTGTATTCTGTTAACATGTGTGTGACGACTGTTGTCTTCTGTTAACATGTGTGTGACGACTGTTGTCTTCTGTTAACATGTGTGTGACGACTGTTGTCTTCTGTTAACATGTGTGTGGCAACTGTTGTCTTCTGTTAACTTGTGTGTGGCAACTGTTGTCTTCTGTTAACATGTGTGTGGCGACTGTTGTATTCTGTTAACATGTGTGTGGCAACTGTTGTATTCTGTTAACATGTGTGTGGCAACTGTTGTCTTCTGTTAACTTGTGTGTGGCAACTGTTGTCTTCTGTTAACATGTGTGTGGCAACTGTTGTATTCTGTTAACGTGTGTGTGACGACTGTTGTATTCTGTTAACATGTGTGTGACGACTGTTGTCTTCTGTTAACATGTGTGTGGCAACTGTTGTCTTCTGTTAACATGTGTGTGTAACTGTTGTCTTCTGTTAACGTGTGTACTGTTGTCTTCTGTTAACATGTATGGCAACTGTTGTCTTCTGTTAACGTGTGTGTGGCGACTGTTGTGCTTCTGTTAACATGTGTGTGACGACTGTTGTCTTCTGTTAACATGTGTGTGGCAACTGTTGTCTTCTGTTAACATGTGTGTGACGAGTGAGGAAGTATGTAAATTAAAAGCCTACATCAGGAAATTAAATATATTGGAGAAATTAAAGCACTAAAAATAACTATTATAAAAACAGAAAATAAAAACTTTAATACAATATTTTAAGCACATAGGAAGTTATAGAAACTAAATAATAAACGAAGAACTTGGAGGGCAATTAAAAAATCTAAATAAGAACTAAAACTTAACAGAAGTCAAAGAACATTAAATTTTATATATCTTGAGATAGTAAAATAGGTGGAGTGAGCCTACCAGTGTGAGATATTTATACAGTATATCTATTATATAACATTGGCTACTCCGAGGACACTATGGATGACGACGGGGAAGTTAACAGTATTTACGATTAGGACGAGAGATAAAGGTGTACGGAAAGAGGCAAGGAAGACTTGGAGAAATAAGATAGACAGAATATATGAAAAAAACTCATACAAACACATCTTTATAAAAGAAATAAAAATAAAATTATATATATATATATATATATATATATATATATATATATATATATATATATATATATATATATATATATATATAAAATCAACAGCCTCACCCCGCCAAGACACGAACCCACGAACTTATGTGTGTGATTGGGGAACGTTACCTCTAGACCACTAGGACACTAAAAGCAGTCCTAGACTTTGTTAGGTTAGTAGTCCGAGTTAATATATATATATATATATATATATATATATATATATATATATATATATATATATATATATATATATATATATATATATATATATATATATATATATATATATATATATATATATATATATATATATATATATATATATATATATATATATATACAGAGTAACTGTAATTGTTTACACTTGCACAAATAATTTGTTCAAGTAATCTTAATAGCAATAGATTACATTTGTTCAAATAATCGTAACCATAATTTATTACGTTATTTTATCTTGCAATTATCAGTTACATTTAAAATGTAATCGTAATCATGGTTGCTTTTATGATTACATTTGTCTATTTACATTATATTTAATGCGAAAAGGTTCACACATTTATTATGGGTGCTGGTCCTCTGTGTACCTGGATATAGTGAGCTAACAGTTAGGTGCAGATAATTACTTACAGTACTATGATAAGTCACTTTAAGTCACAGGCAGTCAGTGTAAACATTTCAAAGATTAGAAGGATGGGGGGGGAGGGTGTGTGAAGGTTGGGCGGATGGTAAGGTAGGTTAGGAGGATGGGGAGAGTAGCTTGGTAGGTTGGGCTGATGGTAAGGTAGGTTAGGAGGATGGTAAGCGGTGAGCGTCAATGCGGCACCAAGTGGGAAGGTGGTAATGATCATATATTATGGTTTCCTTTTAATTTCTATTAAGCGATGACTGTAAAGTCTATGTTACAGCATACGCATTGAACTGTGGAAATGGATTCCATAATTCCATAATTTAGAACAGGACCACTCAACCCACGGCTCCCCACTCAGCTTGTAATGGCCCTTGTTTCATAAACAGAAGAATTATATAAATGGGTTAATTACATTTGATTTATATACTGATTTATCCCCTGTAACTTTCCACTATTTATGAGGTGACATGTTCTGTGCACGTGATAGGGTGTGCCTACGGGAAGCCGCGTCGTATTATGCTGAGTAAAGGCATTTTAGTAGTCGGCTCTCTGGCCACCCAAAGCGGGCAGTAGGTTGATACCTTTGACTAGAGGAAGACGTTATTTGAGAGCCGTCGTGGATGGCTCCGTCTTCCCTCGACGGGGGACGACGTGCCTATTCCGTTCTCCCTCGATGGGTCACTCCTCATAGAAGTCACACTCATAATCTCACATCGAAAGGACGTGATTAAACGGTCTATAGCCTCCGTCCTTCTCTTAACACTCATAGTTAGTGATAAGTTCCGGTTGATTTACACTTTGGAATTGTCTTAGTTGTTTCTGAATAAATGAATAACAGACAACTTGGGTTTTGCTACTAATACCCAATAAAATATAAACGTCCCAGCCTAGTTAACTTCGACAAAACCTACAGTTAACAGGCTATGACAAGCTTTTATGATAAATGAAACAATTCTAACGGAACCCTCCCTGATCACCAACCACTTCAATGATTACTGTTACCGCAAGCAGTAATGAGTATCTATACATATAAAACAAAGAAGTATGTCTGTGTGTGTGTTTGTGTGTGTGTTTGTGTGTGTGTGTGTCCGCACGAGAATCTCGGAAACTACTTTACCGATTTGTAGTGATGATGGATGGTGTTATATGTAGTGATGATGGATGATGATGATGTTATATGTAGTGATGATGGATGTTGTTATATGTAGTGATGATGGGTGGTGTTATATGTAGTGATGATGGATGGTGTTATATGTAGTGATGATTAGACAATAAAATAATAAGAGTTTAATGCTAAAAAAATATACTTTGCTGTACCGTTGTAGTGGAACTTACATACACCGTTAATGAAATATTGATGGAAGAAGGAGTTTTGGGGAGTGAACAGTGAGACAACGTGGAGCTTCCCGGAGGGTGGCGTCCTACCGTGGCCTAGCGAATGAGCCGCCCGGACCAAACTTGGCATGGATAGCAAGTGTTTCCTTGCTTCTCTCATGGAGAGTTCTATGTTGGATGCTCCAGAGTGGGAACTGGCAAAAATCTGTACATACTTGCTGCTAATGGCAAAACCAAAAATGTGGTCTACCCTAATGCACTACAGTGAGACAATGTGGAGCCTCCCGGAGGGTGGCGTCCTTCCGTGTGTCCGCACAAGAATCTCGGAAACTACTTTACCAATCTGTAATGATGATGGATGGTGTATATGTAGTGATGATGGATGGTGTTATATGTAGTGATGATGGATGATGTTATATGTAGTGATGATGGATATTGTTATATGTACTGATGATGGGTGGTGTTATATGTAGTGATGATGGATGGTGTTATATGTACTGATGATGGGTGGTGTTATATGTAGTGATGATGGATGTTGTTTTATGTAGTGATGATGGATGATGTTATATGTAGTGATGATGGATGGTGTATATGTAGTGATGATGGATGGTGTTTTATGTAGTGATGATGGATGATGTTATATGTAGTGATGATGGATGATGTTATATGTAGTGATATTGCTGTACCGTTGTAGTGAAAAACATGGTGGAACTTACATACACCGTTAATGAACTATTGATGGAAGAAGAAGTTTTGGGGACTGAACAGTGAGACAATGTGGAGCCTCCAGGAGGATGGCGACCTACCATTGCCTAGCGGATGAGCCGCCCGGAGGGTGGCGATTCTTCTAGTACGGTATATAGAGTATTGAGATGGTGGAGATGAAGAGACCCAGAGGAGGTTGGGGTGTTGGGTGGTAGTAAGGGAAGCTTGTTTGCGTATAAACGCCTGACACAGCAAAGTCGGCCAGCCAGGGTTGGGCATGTGACGCCGGACAGGGCACTGCCACTGTAGAGTCAACACCTAACCTGTTTCTCTTGAGACTTTCAACAAGTAAGTTTAACTTGCACTTATTGTTTACACAGGTAGACTGTAGTCATTGCATCGCTTATCATTGTGACAATATAGAAATATGACAAATTAAGTACTCATTATAAGTGTTAATATTAGACTAATTACATAGCTATGATTGTTATGTGAATATATATTGGATTAAACATTTATGTATGATTGTCTATGTATGATTTATTTGAAATACTAAAATGAATTGTATTTAACAGGTTTGACCGAATTATAACGTTCGAGTTTAACGTGAAGCGTCTGATTAACCTTCAAACGCTCAGAAGGCGTTTACAGTTACTTTATAAATGTTGGCAAAAATCTTTCAGAGAGCATCCCTGATCACCATGAGGAATTTAGAGCCTACCTGTAAAACAGACAGCAAAATTATTTGTTCTTATCCCCTGTCACAGCAGATGAATTATGGACCATCATAAAAATGTCCAAAGATGCAGCAGCAGGCGATGACAATATACCAATGAGCATCATTAAGAAAGTAGACCACTTATTACTACCTGTTCTCCTCCACATTTGTAACTCCTCCTTCACTTTCCGGATAAACTGGAAATTGCCAAAGTTCCCCCGGCATATAAAAAATCTGGGGACAAAGGTCTTTTCAAGAATTACCGCCCCATATCAGTCCTCCCAGCCTTGAGTAAGATACTGTTATGTTTTTACTAACACCATGTTACGTGTACTATTCCAGATGATACAAAATGTTACATAATACTTCCTTGAGATAAATGTATAGTATATATCAGGTGCCTAAAAGAGAGCTCAGGTTCTCAACTGGCTCAGCCATGTTAATATTGTTATTATTATCCACTCTGTGTCTGTGTTTTTCTGACTAAATAAATTGTTTCTTGTTGTAACTACGGACAGTGATTCGGCTCATACACTCATCTTTACGCCCATGTATAAACGCTTACTTAAAAATTACATATCATAATAACAGGTACAGTACATAAGATGTGTCACTTGGCCTGACTTATGAAAAACAAGTACCAAAGATATATCACGTGGCAGACTTAAAACATCTCCAGTAAAACAAAATGAAAGATCAACAAAAACTACATCTCTTATAATTTATAATTGTTGATATAATAGTGTAATTACTAACCTCGCTACACGCTTAAAAGCCTCAGTTGTTAGAGCGGAGTAATAACACTAAAATAACAAAAATCGAATTATTATGATAAACATTTTAGTAGAATATAATGTTGACGTTAATATTTAAGTATTGTAAATCACTCGTAGGTATTGTAGTGTCTAGACAGATTATTGCACAAATGAGAAAGCTTGAATACTGTAAATCAATTTTCAAACATAAAATAAACTAAAAATATTATTCACTGGACAAAAATCAAATTATACTCATTATATGAAAACAAATCTACCTAGGAGATATGGCATCACTTAGTTAAAAATAATATAACAATGACGACAAGTCTTATTGCACTGAGTTTAGAAATAACCATAATTTGCTAACATGGAAGTTCCTTATCATAAAGAGAGTCCTTTGAAGCAAATAAAATATTTTCTTATCTTTATCAATATGAGGGCTTGGAGTCAGCAGGCTTGTTCACTAAATGAGGTTTACACATTGTTCAGTGGCATCCCCATACAACTTGCGTAACTGGGCATCTTGGTGGTGGGACCTAGATGGGCTCACACGGTTTCAGTCTCTCGTGAGCATCCTGCTGAGATAAGGTTAAATAAACACATTGCTTCATATTTCATTCGTTTCAAATACTTCCCGAGGCCAAGTGTTGATGACACTCACCTAAGGGCTCGTGATGTTATTGTTCACTGTAGAGTCATGCTAATTGTTAAATAGCTTCACACATTTTGAGAAATCTTTTCAGTTTTCTGTGTATAATGATCAAGGCTTAGTTTTTTTTCTGCATTAAGAAACATGATATATTGTATGCAGTTATTCAGGAAGGCGTGTTTGTGTTGGGACCAGATAGTTCATACAAACTTCCTCTAACCTTACAACATTCTACAGTCTATATTACAGTCAATATTGAACATTTAACTTACTTATCACTAGCTCCTCCTCCTTCTCCTTCTAACACGTGAAGCAACTCTTGCCACCACCTTACCTCACATCCACCACCTTGCCTCACATCCACCACCTTACCTCACATCCACCACCTTGCCTCACATCCACCACCTTACCTCACATCCACCACCTTGCCTCACATACACCACCTTGCCTCACATCCACCACCTTACCTCACATCCACCACCTTACCTCACATCCACCACCTTGCCTCACATCCACCACCTAACCTTACATCCACCACCTTACCTCACATCCACCACCTAACCTTACATCCACCACCTAACCTTACATCCACCACCTAACCTTACATCCACCACCTAACCTTACATCCACCACCTTGCCTCACATCCACCACCTTACCTCACATCCACCACCTAACCTCACATCCACCACCTTACCTTACATCCACCACCTAACCTTACATCCACCACCTAACCTTACATCCACCACCTTGCCTCATCCACTCCATCCACCACCTAACCTCACATCCACCACCTACCTTACATCCCACCCATCCACCACCTAACCTCCACATCCACCACCTAACCTTACATCCACCACCTGCCTCACATCCACCACCTACCTCCCATCCACCACCTAACCTCCCACATCCACCACCTTGCCTCACATCCACCACCTAACCTTACATCCACACCTTGCCTCATCCACCACCTTACCTCACATCCACCACCTAACCTCCCATCCACCACCTTGCCCACATCCACCACCTAACCTTACATCCACCACCACCTCACATCCACCACCTAACCTCATCCACCACCTAACCTTACAACCACCACCTAACCTTACATCCACCACCACCTCCACCACCTTCCTCACATCCACCACCCAACCACATCCACCACATCCACCACCTTATCCACCACCTTATCCACCACCTTACCTCACCACCCCTACCACATCCACACCATCCACCACCTTACCTCCCATCACACCCACCACCCAACCTTACATCCACCACCCCCATCCACCACGCATCCACCACCTTCATCCACCACCTAACCTCACCACCACAACCTTACATCCACCACCTTACATCCACCACCTTACACATCCACCACCTAACCTTACATCCACCACCTTCCACCACCCACATCCACCACCTTACCTTCCACCATCCACCACCCACATCCACACCTCATCCACCACCCTCACATCCACCACCTAACCTTACATCCACCACCTTACCTTACATCCACCACCTTACCACCTTACCTCACATCCACCACCTAACCTTCACCACCTTACCTTACATCCACCACCTTACCTTACATCCACCACCTTCCACCACCTAACCACATCCACCACCTAACCTTACATCCACCACCTAACCCCATCCACCACCTTCCCCCACCTTACCTCACATCCACCACCTAACCTCACATCCACCACCTAACCTTACATCCACCACCTAACCTTACATCCACCTTACATCCACCACCTTACCCCACATCCACCACCTAACCTCCACATCCACCACCTAACCTTACATCCACCACCTAACCTTACATCCACCACCCACACCTACCACACCACATCCACCTAACCTCACATCCACCACCAACCTTACATCCACCACCCACATCCACCACCTGCTACCACCACCTTACCATCCACCACCTTAACCACCACCTTACCTTTCCACCACCTCCTCCACCACAACCACCTTCCACCACCTAACCTCACATCCACCACCTTACCTTTCATCCACCACCTTACCTCCACATCCACCACCTTACCTTTCATCCACCCCTCACATCCACCACCTTACCACATCCACCACCTTACCTCCACATCCACCACCTACCTCACATCCACCACCTTACCCATCCACCACCTTACCTCCACATCCACCACACATCCACCACCTTACCACATCCACCACCTTACCTTTCATCCACCTTACCTCCACATCCACCACCTTACCTTCATCCACCACCTAACCTTTCATCCACCACCTTACCTTACATCCACCACCTTACCTCCCCACACCACCTTACCACCTTTCATCCACCACCTTACCTCACATCCACCACCCATCCACACCTAACCTTACATCCACCACCTTACCTTACATCCACCACCATCCACCACCTTACCTTACATCCACCACCTTCCACCACCTCCATCCACCACCTATGCATCCACCACCCCACCACCTTACCTTACATCCACCACCTAACCTTACATCCACCACCCAACCTTTCCACCACCCTTAACATCCACCACCTAACCTTACATCCACCACCTAACCTTACATCCACCACCTAACCTCACATCCACCACCTTGCCTCACATCCACCACCTTACCTCACATCCACCACCTTGCCTCACATCCACCACCTTGCCTCACATCCACCACCTTACCTTACATCCACCACCTAACCTTACATCCACCACCTAACCTTACATCCACCACCTTACCTTTCATCCACCACCTAACCTTACATCCACCACCTTATGACATGCTGATGCACTTATGCGTCACCAGCCTGGTCGTCTTCTCTCAACTCTACCCAACAACGTCAGCTAGAGAAGGTACAGATGAGGGCCTGTAGAATCATGCTCGGGGCAAACTACTCCGGCTACAACAACGCTCTCTCCACCCTGGAAATGCCATCCCTCAGTGACCTCCACCACCACGCACTAGCAGGGTTTTGTAATGGACTACTGTACCATCCTCGTCATCGCCACCTACTGCCACCTGCAGTCCCCCACCTACCTCGCGCAGTCCACCACTACAACAAAATTCAGCCCATAAGAGCCCGAACTGATAGATATAAGAACAGCACCATCCCATCTATTGTTAAAATAATAAACAGCTCCTGATTTATGTACTGTACAGCCCTGTAAATATATTGAACGGATATCATTATGTCTAAATCACATGTAAGTTTGCATATTTTCAGCCACCGGCTGCAACTCTATTAATAAACCGTTTATTATTATTATTTATTATTATTATTTTATACAACTTTCATTAAATCCTAAATAAAATGACGTAAAAAATTCCAACAATATCTGATCCAATGTAAAATTGTAACATACTGGGTCAATTATCCCATAGTTTATAGTGTATATTTTCCAGATGGTGAGGCATGAGAGAGAGGTAGCGAAGAGGCAGATGGTGAGGCATGAGAGGGAGGTAGCGAAGAGGCAGATGGTGAGGCATGAGGAGAGGGAGGAGAAGAAGAGGCAGATGGTGAGGCATGAGGGAGGTAGTGAAGAGGCAGATGGTGAGGCATGAGAGGGAGGTAGCGAAGAGGCAGATGGTAGAGGCATGAGAGAGAGAGGTAGGCAAGAGGTAGATGGTGAGGCATGAGAGAGAGGTAGCGAAGAGGAGATGGTGAGGCATGAGAGGGGAGGTAGCGAAGAGGCAGATGGTGAGGCATGAGAGGGAGGTGGAAGTGAAGAGGCAGATGGTGAGGCATGAGAGGGAGGTAGCGAAGAGGCAGATGCAGAGGCATGAGAGAGAGGGGAAGAAGAGGCAGATGGTGAGGCATGAGAGAGAGGTAGAAGAGGCAGATGGTGAGGCATGAGAGGCAGAGGTAGGCATGAGAGGGAGATAGGAGGCAGATGGTGAGGCATGAGAGAGAGAGAGGTAGCGAAGAGGCAGATGGTGAGGCATGAGAGAGAGGTGAAGGAAGAGGCAGATGGTGAGGCATGAGAGAGAGTAGGGAAGAGGCAGATGGTGAGGCAAGAGAGAGGTAGCGAAGAGGCAAAAGAGGTATGAGAGGGAGGTAAAGAAGAGGCAGATGGTGGAGGTGAGGGAGGTAGCGAAGAGGCAGATAGGAAGCATGAAGAGGCAGATGAGAGGCATGAGAGGGAGGTAGCGAAGAGGCAGATGGTGAGGAATGAGAGAGAGGTAGCGAAGAGGCAGATGGTGAGGCATGAGAGAGAGGTAGCGAAGAGGCAGATGGTGAGGCATGAGAGAGAGGTAGCGAAGAGGCAGATGGTGAGGCATGAGAGAGAGGTAGCGAAGAGGCAGATGGTGAGGCATGAGAGAGAGGTAGCGAAGAGGCAGATGGTGAGGCATGAGAGGGAGGTAGCGAAGAGGCAGATGGTGAGGCTTGAGCTGTAGACTCCTTAACTCTCTACCCCTGAGAGCTCTTGTATTTAGGTGGACTCCTAGCGGACCTGACTGAGTGGTAAGTTAAACTCTTGTGTCAGTTTGTGTCACCAGCAAAGGAATATTTACTACTGGAGGAGATGAATAGCAGTTTATTTATATAGAGCGCCCGCAGAACCATATCATTGAGCCCGCAAGGGTTTATTAGAAAATGTGAATTATCTGGGATTCTATCTTAGAGAGAAATTTATGAAAACATATAATAACTTGATACAGCTGTCGTGTACAGGACGTGTGTATTTACCCCAGACCGGGCCCAGAGAGAGAAGCAGCCTTCTCACTGTGGTAAATACACACATACTGTCCAAGAGTAACTGTAAAAAGTATGTAACTGGTAGACGTGTTAAAATGCAAATAAGTGTAGAGTATATATGAGATTTTTTTCTTGAATATCGATCAAAAGTTTTGGAGCTCTCCACTATATTTACAATAATAAATGTGGCCCAGAGCCTAGATTAGGTTTGGCACCACTAATATAGAGTAAGAGGAAGTGTCATCCATCCACAACAGTATAGTGGACCATTGATGACAGTTGAGTGAATCAAGTGCATCAAACTAAGACCCAGTGAGGGTGTTAATGGACACATAAAGGATTAAGAGTTACAGGAAGAAAGAAGGAAGTCTGCTGAGGAAATCTAAACCATGCCAGGTGTTCTTAAATGGGTTTCTTTACGTGTAATTCTATAACTTTGGTGGTAATTGAGTAAGAGTTAAGGCTGGAAGTCGGAGGCAGATGGGTCATGTGTTACTTGGAAATAGGCTGAAAAATTTGCTGTATTTCCAGGATGAGGAGCGGTATGAGCACAGTAAAACGGTATCCCATAGGCCAGGCGTCCCCTTGTGGCTACAATAGCTTATATAGTAAGTCTTCGGTACAAAAGAAGGCAGGATTACTGACAGTGTTCTCTTCCCCCAACTTTACCGCCGCACCCGTCTGTGAGGAGTGAGGCGGTAAAATAGTTATGGAGGCCATGGTGTAAGTTCAGGTGTACAGTAAGAGGAGGAAATTTGAGAAACTCGTTACCATTATCTCATCAGCTGGAACGTAGATGCTGTTACGGCATTCTTGGCGGATGACGTCACTGTTGATGTTCCACTCATCATACGCGTCCTCGACTTTCTGCTGCCACTTATTCGCAGAAGGCAGCTGAATCTCTGGAAAAGTTTTCTTACATGATAATGATTTAGGCCAGCCAGCACTGATCAGTACTGTAGGGTGGCTAACCGGCAAGAAAAATGCGCATTTTGAATTTGGAAACATAACAGTGATGAACAAAAACGCTCACTTAATACTAAAACAGCCACAAACAGCGTATCATTGAAGGACGTTGGATTGCTAATCTTTGTCTGGGTATATTACTGACAGTCTGTAAAGTGTGTGGCAAAGATTTAACTCAAGATATTATTTATTTTTGTTATTATGTAACTTATACTACTCGACTATTATCATGTTACTAAATGACGCCTAAAACAAAACTTGCTGGTCATAGAAATATCTGTATTTTTCTAGATAAAAACAAGGAGATACATATATTCTGTACTTACATCAAATAATATATGTTAAATGGAATGTATTATACGCTCGCATTTATTTATAGTCATGTGGAGTCTGAGTTATATGTGAAGCTTTGATGAAGGAGTCTGTCGTTCCAGGTGAAGGCACGGCTCAGCCAGAATCATCCACCAGGTTTCCACGTGTAGTCTTCCTTCGAGTGAACTTCTCCAAACAAGCAAAAATTTGCTCTATCCATGAGTCGTTGAAAATTTACAACCAGTAAACTTGTACACAGAAAATACTGGACAGACACAAGCAAGAAAGGAATTGAGGAGTTCTATGGTATTGTTTAGATGTTCATGTCAAGCGTCACCCTGGCAGACGCCAGTGACAATAAGAGTGAAAGAATGGGAAGATGGCTGGTAAGCAACCTAAGATAACATCTGACCTCTGTAAGATGGTCTTCCTTCAATATCTTCAAAATACGTTAAATCCAATAATGGCAGAAGAAATACTTTTTTTTTTCAAAGAATCTCGGCGAGTGTAACCAAGAAACATGGCAGTGATCATGACAAGAAAGTAACGAAAATATATTGTGGAGGAATGGGTAGGTGATACATGGTAGCCATGATGGGCGTTTAGAGAAATAGAAACTTAAGCCATGATGGGTGTTTAGAGAAATAGAAACTTAAGCCACGATGGGTGTTTAGAGAAATAGAAACTTAAGCCATGATGGGTGTTTAGAGAAATAGAAACTTAAGCCACGATGGGTGTTTAGAGAAATAGAAACTTAAGCCATGATGGGTGTTTAGAGAAATAGAAACTTAAGCCACGATGGGTGTTTAGAGAAATAGAAACTTAAGCCACGATGGGTGTTAGAGAAATAGAAACTTAAGCCATGATGGGTGTTTAGAAATAAAACTTAAGCCACGATGGGTGTTTAGAAATAGAAACTTAAGCCGATGGGTGTTTAGAGAAATAAACTTAAGCCGATGGGTGTTTAGAGAAATAGAAACTTAAGCCACGATGGGTGTTTAGAGAAATAGAAACTTAAGCCACGATGGGTGTTTAGAGAAATAGAAACTTAAGCCATGATGGGTGTTTAGAGAAATAGAAACTTAAGCCACGATGGGTGTTTAGAGAAATAGAAACTTAAGCCACGATGGGTGTTTAGAGAAATAGAAACTTAAGCCATGATGGGTGTTTAGAGAAATAGAAACTTAAGCCATGATGGGTGTTTAGAGAAATAGAAACTTAAGCCATGATGGGTGTTTAGAGAAATAGAAACTTAAGCCACGATGGGTGTTTAGAGAAATAGAAACTTAAGCCACGATGGGTGTTTAGAGAAATAGAAACTTAAGCCACGATGGGTGTTTAGAGAAATAGAAACTTAAGCCATGATGGGTGTTTAGAGAAATAGAAACTTAAGCCACGATGGGTGTTTAGAGAAATAGAAACTTAAGCCACGATGGGTGTTTAGAGAAATAGAAACTTAAGCCACAATGGGTGTTTAGAGAAATAGAAACTTAAGCCACGATGGGTGTTTAGAGAGAAATAGAAACTTAAAGCCACGATGGGTGTTTAAGAAATAAACTTAAGCCACAATGGGTGTTTGAAATAGAAACCCAAGCCACGATGGGTGTTTAGAGAAATAGAAACTTAAGCCACGATGGGTGTTTAGAGAAATAGAAACTTAAGCCATGATGGGTGTTTAGAGAAATAGAAACTTAAGCCATGATGGGTGTTTAGAGAAATAGAAACTTAAGCCACGATGGGTGTTTAGAGAAATAGAAACTTAAGCCACGATGGGTGTTTAGAGAAATAGAAACTTAAGCCACGATGGGTGTTTAGAGAAATAGAAACTTAAGCCACGATGGGCGTTTAGAGAAATAGAAACTTAAGCCACGATGGGCGTTTAGAGAAATAGAAACTTAAGCCATGATGGGCGTTTAGAGAAATAGAAACTTAAGCCACGATGGGTGTTTAGAGAAATAGAAACTTAAGCCACGATGGGTGTTTAGAGAAATAGAAACTTAAGCCATGATGGGCGTTTAGAGAAATAGAAACTTAAGCCACGATGGGCGTTTAGAGAAATAGAAACTTAAGCCACGATGGGTGTTTAGAGAAATAGAAACTTAAGCCATGATGGGTGTTTAGAGAAATAGAAACTTAAGCCAAGAGAAATCATGATAGAGACGAAGGAAGGCCGAATGAATGCATCGTCAGGAATTAACTATAAATTAAGCTCATTAGAGGGAACACCTGAGTGTCTTTAAGAAGTATAATCTGAGAACACGAGGAAAGGATGAAAATAGAGAAGGTTTGTGTGTTTTGCTCTCTCTCTCTCTCTCTCTCTCTCTCTCTCTCTCTCTCTCTCTCTCTCTCTCTCTCTCTCTCTCTCTCTCTCTCTCTCTCTCTCTCTCTCTCTCAGGGCTAGACAAAAGGAACTCACCTTGCTCCGAGTGCTCTCTGATGGTCTTCTTGTAATTGTTCAGTTCAGCTTGTACTGTAGGAGGAAAGGGGGAAAAAGAGTACTAGGTTCATATGAAGTTTTCAATATATTTTTTTTTAGTTCAGCAGACACAAACTACAAACTACACACACACACACACACACACACACACACACACACACACTTGCTTATGGCTATCCGTCGTAGCCGACAACGAATCTGTTTCATTAAAAAATGGATGACGATGAGTGGTGAACTAAGGATGGTGTCGGGGGTGCCACTGGATGTGGCTGTGGAGTCTGATCCTTGACGCCCACATTCTATCGCACAATGGGTAGGGCAGCTCTGGGTTGGGTGGGAGGTCTCTGGGAGGGCGATTGTGTCAACTTTGTCAACGTGCACATATGGTTCTATTGCGCTCGTTCACGAGATGTTTGACGCCTTGGGTACAAATGAAGAGCCATAGACTACGGTCTGATGCAATGGTCTCGAGAGCCTTTGGAGGGATGTTACCTCTTTTGAGCGTCGTTCTGAGCTGGTCTTTCTTTGTACCTTTCATATTGTCCTCCAGGGTTGCGGCGTGCCTCGGGCAGCTGCCCGTAGAGGATCTGGTTGGGGAGTCGGTACTCTCGTCATGCGGATGACGTATTCCGTCCATTGCATTTGTCACTTCGCCAAAAATGCCTCTATGCTGGTAGTGTTGGTACACAATAGGATATCAGTATAAGAGATATTGTCCTGCCAGAACAGACCAAGAATTCATTGCAAACAACGGATATGGAAGGACTGGAGAGATCTGATTTGCCTTTGTTACGTAATCCACGCCTCAGAACCAAATAAGATGGTGGATATACAGACAGCTTGGTAAACAGAAATTTTGGTTATGACTTTGAAGCTGTTATTGTTGAATACTCTGGAGCGCATACGACCAAAGGAGGAGCCGCAAGATGGATCCGAGCCTGGATCTCCTCGTCGATGTTGTGGTTGGGGAAAAGAGCACTACCTAGGTAGGTAAAATGTTTTCTTGTTTGACAGGTTCTCCTTTGATTAAAAATGTAGGTGGTGGGTCTGCGCCTCTCTATTGAGTAATAATCTCTGTTTTTGGATGTTAAATTAAGAGTCCGATGGCCTGATGCACTGCGGAGACAACTCAGAAACAGTGTTGGGGAGCCTTTGGGGAGTGACCAAAGAGCGTGCAGTCATTAGCATATTGGAGCTCCAGGAGGTGGGAAGTCGACGGTTTTCTTATTACCTGGAGGCGGCGGAGGTTGAACAGATTGCCGTCGAAACAGAATTGGATCTTCACGTCGTCATCGTCGTTCATGGAGTTATGGCTGAACAGGGTCACTGCTATGAGGTAGAGATTGAATATAACGAGGGCCAGAAAGCACCCCTGTTTCACACCGACTTCAACACTAAAGATCACATCAGTTGTGCTGTGATCTTTACGGAAGCCACATTGCGTCTCAGGCAGAGTGGACTCAACGATGTGTTGGGCTAATCTGCAGAGCATAATTCTGGCAAGTACTTTACCTGCCACAGCCAAGAGAGAAATGTCTCGGCTCTTGCCACACATCGAACGGTCGCCTTTTTTTCTTGTAGACTGCGATGATGCTCGAGTACTGCCATTTTTGGGGGACGCTTTCGGTTGGTGGAGACGCTGGATGAGAAGGTAGTCCGCTCATAGATTTCTGAAGGCTGGCCGTCTGGCCCGGCACTTTTGTTGTTTTTGAGGCCCTTGGCAGCCAGAGGGTCTCAGAGAACTCAGGTACTGTATCGAGTTCTACCGGCGGGGTCAACTCTAAGATAGTATCTAATATGTTGGGCTCAGTAGGGTTCCTTTGGTTGAGAAGTCTACCAAACTGTTCCGCCCATCAATCCAGGATTTGCTGTTTGTTCTAGAGAATTTCACCATCGAGTGATCTCACTGGAGTGATGTTGCGCTTGACGGGACCATGAATGTCTTTGGTGGCATTGTAGAAGTCCTGATGATCGTTCTCGTTGTCGAAGTTCTGGCTTGGCACCACTTGTTTTCCTTTTTTCTTAAAGTTATCTCTGCTTCTGCCCTGAGTGAACACCAGCTGGTTCCGAGTGCAGCAGATTTTGGGTTTCAGAGTAAAGCATCGTTGGCTTTATTTTGGTGAGCAAAAACTTCGTATATGGCATCAGTGTTCTTACCGAACCAGTCCCGGTGACGTCGTCTGGTAAAGCTAAGGATATCCTTTGTAACTTCGTAGCAAGCAGAGGTTGTTCCACGCCTATTGTGTTGCTGCTTAAATTTATTGTGAGTGTGGAAGACAGACGCCCATCTAGAGTACTGCGGAAATTTCTAACTACTGATGGGTTTTTGAGGGTGTTCCAATTGATTTTTTTTTTTTTGGAGGGGATGGGGAGGTCGTAATGGCACTTGGGGGCGGATTTCAAGCCTCATCTTGGAGTGGATTAAGATATGATCGGTGGAGCACTTTGCACCACTTTGGAGAACTTCTCGCCGGTCACGTTACCTGACAATGATGTAGTCGAGTATGTGCCGGTGCTTCGACCTTGGGTGTATCCAGGAGATTTTATGCTTGTTTTTAAGTTGGAATGAGGTATTGGTTACGACTAGAATATGTTTTAAACACAAAGAGAGGAGTCTGAGGCCATTGCTGTTCATGTTGTCGATGCCATAGCGGCCCAGAATGCCGTCCCATAGGTGGGAGTCTGTACTAACTCTTGCATTGAAGTTACCGAAGATTATGACTTGTCGTTATGAGGTGTCCTGCGGGGAGCAAGGCTCAGGGACTCGTAGAAGGAGTCTTTTGCTAGATTGTCACCGTCTACTGTTGGTGCGCAGATCCCGAAAAGGGTTGCAGAGCGCCCATTAGTTAAAGGGATGTGCCATGACATCAGTCTTTCAGTCATACCAATCGGAGATTCTGTTACTTTGTGCTTGATGGTTTTACAGACAGCAAATCCCACACCGTGCAGTCGGCGTTGGTCCTCTGGGTACCCTTCCCAGAAAAAGGTGTCGTCTCCTCCCGCTTCTGTCAGTGAGTCCACGTAGAGAGGTGCGTTTCACTTCATGGGGAGGTAGTGCGCTTGGCGGAAAAGCCGCTCAGCTTTTCTATCAGGGAAATAGAGTACTAGAACAGATCTATCAGTTCAACTGAGAGGCCCTTCCGCCAAGCGCACTACTTCCCCGTAACGTTTGTCTTTAACTACGCCTTTACGTGAATATGTGGTGTTTACACTTGATCCTTCTCTTTATAAATTGATCATTATTATCTGTTGCTTTATGTATTTTGCCATGCATCAAGACAATATCCTATGGAAAATTTCTCGAAACGTGAGTGACAAGAAGGCATCAGGCACGGCGCTACCGTCTTCTAACCCCCCCCCCCCCTTCGTCATCTCGCCAGATGTTGCATGGCGTCAATTATCAACCACTCATCAATTAGAATTGAAAATTGACGTCACCACAGTCACGCCCCCAATACTAATTGATGAAAAGCCACGTACACCTCATCAGAGGGCATTCACTTCCTTATCTTCTCAACTTAACATAGAGATTCCCCTTGGTTGACGTTCTCTCTAAAATCTCCAATCTCCGCTGCTGGTAGCCGCAAGTCCTAGTCCTACGTATGTTCAACCTAATCAGCTCATCTGTCAGCTAAGTCTTTCAGTTCGTCTTAGGGTCTTGTTTAGCCTTAGTTATACCAGTGTTAAGTTCTGACCTGCGTCTTGGTCATTTTATTAATATTTTTGTATAAAAATAAGTTTTAAGTCTAATGAGAAAATTCTCACTGTTCGCGTTAACTATCCTCTACCATACTTTAATTGATAACTACTTAATTCACTATTATTATCTTGAATACACTATACCTTGTCTATGGTTGGGAATTCTGGTTAATATCTTACCTAATTTATCAATTAATCACTGGAAGTATTAAAAATAATTAAAGGTTTAAATACCTAACAGTTTGGTGTCATTTGACTTGATACATATAATAATAAATGAAAAGAGAAAATTAGCGGCGAATGTGTTCTTAAAAACCATGAAATTATTTATTACATCGACGGTAAATATTCTGTATTTCAAACTTTTTTCCCACTCTTATCTTGAAAGTAGTTTTTTCAAGCAGTTATATCTTTACATACATTAAATTTAGCATTAAAGTGAGATGAAATTAGGTACCCTTAACAGTTCTATCCGAATTAATTGGCGATATATCAATATTAATCGAACATTATATATGAACCAATGAGCTGCAAAGGGGGGCGAGGGGGCTTCTTAACCTAATACCGTCCAAGGATATTGTATTAAAGTTCCTTGGTATCGTCAGTTAAAAAGAAAAAGAAATGACTCTATTGACCTCTGGCAATTATATCACTAACAACCAGAGGGTGCGTTGCTTTCGGGTCCCGATAAGTTGCTCTGCCTGACATGTTTACGTAAAGGCAAAAGTAAGTGAGAATGAATAGGCCTACACCCCGTCTCAAATCTCATTTTCCTGGAGGGGAGGGAGACTTCTAAGGGAGGGATCTAAGGTCTTTCGGCCAGAGTGAAAAAAGAACGATGGAGAAGGGATGATTGCCACTCAGGTCAACACTTGAGTGGGATCGTGGCTCTCAGTGAGGATGCCTTTGCTACAGGTTACGTCACTATCATGATGTTGTCTGTAAAGAGCCAACAACTATGCCTGAGGATGTCGTGAGGGTTCTGAGGAGTGATTAAGCTCAGACCCAGGTGGGGTAAGGTCGGCCTGGAGTAGTCAGGTGACCTGTCATCAGTAACGGTGTGATTATCTTGTCGGATGAGGGCGAATAGAAGACAAATTACGATGACTGGTGGAGCAGCTGGCAAGTAATAATGACCCACAAACTTCCACCTACAGATGTAGAAAGACAAACCTAAGAAGTGAGAAATCCTCCACACAGACACAAAGACAAAATGACAGTCTAGAAATTGAACCTCCCACAAAAACAAACAAACAAAATGGTCGCAAGGTGTGTTGTGTTATCTTTCTGCACCGCCTACGAGCGTGAAAAAAAATCCCAGGAGCGGCAGTGATTAAAGGGGAAAAGTTTATGAACAAATCGAGCAGGAAAGGAGGACATAGACTTAGCTGTGTGTGTAGCACTGGCGATATAGGGATCTGAACTCTCTCTCTCTCTCTCTCTCTCTCTCTCTCTCTCTCTCTCTCTCTCTCTCTCACCATTAAAGAGTGTCTTCTTGAATCGGTAGATGAAGGCTACTGCTACGAATATCACCACCAGCACCACCAGCGCCAGCGCCACCACCAGCATCAACGTAATGGGGAACTTGTTTTCAGATATACTGGCTGTAAAGAGAAGGCAAGCATCATCTTAACGTGTGAGTAAATTATAGGTTTTTACATTAAATTTTTAAAGAATATATAAGAATAAATTTGGGATCATCTGAAGATTAGACACCAAGCTTTTGTCACTTGAAGATTAACCATCCTAATGCTCATTTAGGGGAGTTAGGTTAAGTTAGGATAGGTTAAGATAGTTTAAGTTAGGTTAGGTTAGATTAAATTGGATTAGATTAGATTAGATTAAATGAGATTAAATTGGATTAGATTAGATTAGATTAAATTAGATTAAATTGGATTAGATTAGATTTGATTAAATTAGATTTGATTGGTTTAGGCTAGGCTAGGTTAGGTTAAGTTAGGTTAGGCAAGGTTAGGCTAGGTTAGGTAATGGCACCCAGTCTGAGTTCTACCCCATCCAAACGGGGGTTAAACAAGGGTGTGTACTGGCACCAACTGTTTTCCATTTTCTTGGCTGCCTTCCTTACTCTTGCCAGTGTCAATTTAGCCGGCTGGGTGGACATCGAGTACTGGATGAAGGGTCTTTTCAACATAAGATGACCCCAGGCAAGAACAAAGGTGTCGGCAGCTTCCATTACCGAACTTCAGGATGCAGACGACCTCAACCTTGTCTTTCACACTGAACACGACCTAGAGGAGATCCTGAACACCTATGCAGATGCGTATGCACACTTTAGCCTTGAGGTGAATGTACATAAGACTCCGATTCTCTTTCAGCCTGCCCCTAGTTCAGCCACACCTCCACCATCCATCCAGCTTAACGTTGCTACCCTATCTAATGTTACCCCACTTTCGGTATCTCGGCTCCCACCTGTCCACCACCGTAGACATCGATGAAGAGATTCAACATCGGAGCAGAGGTGCATCTTAAACCTTTGGCAGGCTCCAAAACCGTGTCTTCAGCTGTAGGGAGCTTAAATTATCTAAAAAGTTACAGGTATATCGAGCAGTGGTCCTCCCCACCCTGCTATATGGTAACGGGCATGGGTCACATACAGGAGGCACCTCAAGGCACTTAAAAACTTTCACGAACGTAGTCTACGTTCCATCCTCCGAGATCGCTGGGAAGATAAGAGAACAAATGCCAGTATTCTTGCTGACACCAACTGTAGAAGCATCGAGGCTACCATGTTACCCGCATGGACGACAGTAGACTGCCAAAGCAGCTACTTGAGTCACCTAACAAATAATAAACATAACGCTGGCGGGCAAACCTGAAAAAGTGCCAAATCGACACTCTCCCTGGGAGACGATTTCTCCTCACCGTAAGAAGATGTCAATGCTTTCGAGTTAGTCTGACTGCATACCGAGGCAGATAGGCGCCAACGCAGCAGCAGCGTTAGTAGTAGTTGTATCGCTGGAACTACCTGATGCGCACTATCCCTGATATCGGACCTTTCCTCCACCCTCTGGAAGAAGATATCAGTGATAATTTCATTTCCAAATTAGTGAAACACCCTCACTTAACCCCAGCAGAAAGATCACTCTTTGCAGTATCACCGAGACTGGGAAGAATGGGATTGACCAATCCAGAGGAGATTGCTGCCACCGAACATCAAAACTCAGTTAAGCTCACGGCAGCCCTCACGGACGCAACAGGGGAGGTGGATACCAGAGTAGTAAACAAGATTCGAAGGTCCATTATGACAGAATGACAGCACGGCCAAAGTGATAAGTTGCAGCAATTGTTGCTGCGTGTACCAGAGAATTTGAAAAAAAAAGTAGCTATAGTGCAGGAGGTGGGCGCCTCGAACTGGTTAACTACATTACCGATAAGGGCAAATGGTTTCAGTCTTAATAAACAAGAATTTACAGATGCTAATGCGCAGCCAGTAGAAGGTTTGTCCTCCCAGTGTGTGTGTGGCTCTTCCTATGACATCGACCACGCCATGGTGTGCAAGAAAGGGGGCTTCGTATGCATGAGACACAACGAAGTAAGGGATCTCACAGCAAATATGTTGAAGGAAATCTGTCATGATGTCAGAGTAGAACCGCCCCTCCTTCCATTGGACGGTGAGAATTTCCAACACAGGACTTCAAACACATCCAACGAAGCCCGTGTGGACGTCAGTGCTCGAGGATTCTGGACGCTGGGACATCGAGCCTTCTTCAACATAAGGATTTTTTATCCCATGGCCGCATGTCACCGTAACCTAGCTCTCGATGCTGCACACAGGAGGAACGAGGACGACAAGATAGGGAATATCGGGAGAGAATTCAGAATGTCGATCAGGGCAGCTTCACTCCTCTGGTTTTCACAACCATTGGTGGGATGGGACCAAGTGCAAGATGCTTCTATGCCAGACTCGCGGAGGTGTTATCTGAATGGAAGCAGCAGCCCAGATATTACGTTACAGCCTGGTTGAGATGTCGACTGTCCTTCTCCCTGCTTAGGTCTGCATTGCTTTGCCTCAGGGGAACGAGAGCATCTGCCCCAAATCCGACAACAGTCGAAGATATTGACTATGAGGCAACTGTCACTGAATGCTGCGTAGATATGCGGCTCAACTAACTCAGCACAGCTAGGGTAGCTACTTATGTGTTAGGATATTTAATTTTAAGGCAATAAAATGGCGAGGAAGGTGTAGCTATTGGGGGAGGCAGGAGGCCACTATAAAAAAGTAGTTGTAGTAGTAGTAGTTGTTGTTGTTGTTGTTGTGTGGGTTTTTGTGTTTTTTTGTGTGAGTTTAATAATAATAATAATAATAATGATAATAATAATAAAAATAATAATAATAATAATAATAATAATAATAATAACAATTAACGGTTTATTGAAAAAGCATGGCAGCCGGAAGGCTGAAAATATACAGTTATATAATTGGGGAATGGGTCTTTTGATTTACAAATAATATACAAGTAACTTAAGTGACACAAATATGATATATAATAACTAGGTGGGGAGAAACTCAAACTACAGGACATTTCAACATAGTGACAGTGCAAAAAGTAAGATTTACTGGGAGCAAATACACTGGTTGATTACAAGTTATTGATAATTTTTACAATGGTTGGGACTGGGCTGTTCTTATAGCGATTAGTTTGTGTGTGTGTGTGTATGTGTGTGTGTGTGTGTGTGTGTATGTGTGTTGTAGTGTTGGAAAATATATTGACTCACGGAAATCTTCGTCAGAAGAACATATGACCCAGTCCATGATGCCGTTGCTCACCACCGACACGTTCTTCACCATACCAGGTTTTATTATGGTTAATTCTACGCCGCCTCCACTTATCTCCGTAACTGTATCTTTCTGCAATAGGTTTTTTTTTTAGGAAAATATTCCTATATTCCTGCGAGGTTATAATGGGAAAAAGATAAATTTTATTTTAATTTCTACAGAATATAAATGAAGTATCCAGTGTTGCTAGTACAATTTATTTACAATCATATGCAATCCGATATAGACTTTACAGTAAATATCCTTTTTCCTAAATGCAGGCTTCAGCTCGTCGCAAAAGTGACAAAAACTACTAACGTACACGTTTGAAGACTCCAAGTGTGTTGCGAATGTTTGTGGCACCGTCTTGCAATATATATATATATATATATATATATATATATATATATATATATATATATATATATATATATATATATATATATATATATATATATATATATATATATATATATATATATATATATATATATGAACCGGTCGAAAATTGCTGGACATTTAATTTCTCACTTGACTTCGGGTTTATTAATTATTAGATGGTAATTGCAGTGGAAGCGCCCCTTTGAGAAAAAACCTGAACCAGCACAAGAACACTTAAATTTACTAACAAAATGAATTCTCCGTGACCCGTGGAAGGATAGCATCTGTGACTGGGATGAATGAGACACACTGTAAAATTTAGACACTTATATTCCCTCCAACTCTACAGACACAATCAAATAATGGTACACCAGCATATGCGCACCTCTTAACCTGAACTTAATACACTACTCTGGGGAATAAAAGTTATACATGATATTGAAATTATTAGAAACTCAGACAATGCCTCATTAGACAACAATAAATTCAAGTATTAAGAATTGTTGCTTGCACACATGAAACAGGCCCTAGGGGCTTTCAACAAAATAATATCAATCACTGAGAAAATTTTATTAAAACAAAATAAGAAATTAATAACTCTACAATGAATAGGCCTTAAGGGCACTCAACAAAATTATATTCAACACTGAGAAAATGGTATAAAAAATAAGAACTTATTAACTCCACCCTGAATAGGCCTTCAGGGCACTCAACAAAATTTTATTACCCCCAACAGATGCACACCTCCTAACCTAACTTAAACACTACTCTGGGGAACAAAGGTTATACCTGAGATTGAAATTATAAAGAAATATTAAATGCATTAAAGGAACTAAGTCACAGTAACACTCTGGTTTCAATTAGTGACACAAACATTAAAAAACAATACTATCAAAATTATTTCAGAAATATTAAACTACACACGTCAAGATAATATCAGTAACTGAAAAATGGTATTAACTACACACAAAATATTATCACTATTATTAAGAAGTTACTGAGTCCACCAGTACCCGTGAACCATGCTTCACCCAACTCAACATACACCCGTAATAAGGGAGATAAAATGTTTCTCTCGGTATCCCCTAGACTCCTGGTCTCAGTGTGTGACCATTAATTTACGCAGATAGCCTCAGTGTACTCTTAGTGCGTCCATGGGTGGGAAGAGAGTGAGCCAATCAGCCCTTGTTCAGTGGAGAGCTTCTCGTTGTAAAAGGTTTTCACTAACTTCTTGAAGATATGTGATATTGCGAGCCGAGGTAGAAGAGATCTGGCGACCCCAGACGATCGTCAGTTGTGCACCCAGACAGCTGGTTTCACTTCGGAGATCTCTGGCTAACCCCGCTGACCAGTGACAAGCCTGCACTGATCGTTCCAACTGCGACAATCGCTAATCATCAATCATCAACGGCAGTCTCAAACGGCATTCAATCTCTCGCAGTCATGACTCTCTCAGTCAAGTGGGTTCTGACGGAAACCCTGAAATTAACTCACTGTTAGCTCTTGTTAACTTTATCACTGCCCTATCTAAACCCTGTCTGAGATCGAATGAAACTTACTTGTTATACTGCAATAGCGCAACACAGGTGAGTCTCGCGTCTAAATCTAAATTTGTCTTATTCAAAACCATTGATACGAGTTCGCTCCTGGTTGGATAGTTTGAGTACCTTTGTTATATCACCTTTGTTTATCCCTGACTTCCATTTATACACCTCTATCATATCGCCCCTCGCTCTACGTCTCTCGAGGGAGTGCATATTAAGATGCTTTAACCTGTCTCTCTACTCAAGGTTCCTAATGCCCGGGATTAGTCTTGTCATTCTCCTCTGAATTATTTTTAAGGATTCTATTTCCATTCTGTAATACGTTGACCAGAATTGAACTGCGTAATCCAAGTGAGGTCTCACAAGCGCAAGATATAGTTTTAGGATGACCTCGCTAGTCTTGTAACTAGCTAGTACTTTATCAGCCTTGTTTCCACCAAAGACACATTGTATACTTGGCTTAAGATTCCTACTGATCATTACTCCTAAATCTATCTCACAGTCGGATTTCTCAGTAACATCGTTGTTCATCTGGTATCTGGGTGTGCTGAGGAGTTAATACAAATGCCTGTTGCGTCTCCTTAACCTCAATCTCAGAAACACCAGTCCAGGTCACGGAAAGTAAGAAAGTTAATATCTGAAACTTTTGTGCTAATTCGTTTTACCATCCATAGATCACCACAATAAGAATTTCGATCTGATATATATATATTTATACTGTATATATATATATATATATATATATATATATATATATATATATATATATATATATATATATATATATGTATATATATATATATATATATATATATATATATATATATATATATATATATATATATATATATATATATATATATATATATATATATATATATATATATATATATATATATATATATATATATATATATATATATACATATATATATATATATTTTTTTTTTTTCAAAGTCTTCGAGGTAGTAGATGATGACGAAAATTACGATGTTATTTACTTAGACTGAAGCAAAGCGTTTGACAGAGTACCGCATCAGAGGCTTCTGAGAAAAGTTAAGGCTCATGGCATCGAGGGGAAGTTTTAAATTGGATAAAATCATGGCTCACCGATAGAACACAGAGGGTCAGAGAAGACGGTGTTAAATCAAAGTGGGGCTGTATAACCAGTGGGGTTCCCTAGGGGTCAGTAGTGGGCCCACTCTTGTTCATAATCTACATAAACGATCTAGATACTGGGATCAGCAGTGACATAAGCAAGTTTGCGGATGACACCAAAACAGGGCGGCAGATTAATTCAGGGCAAGATGCACATGCACTACAAGAGGGTTTAAATAAACTGCAGAAGTGGTCAGAAAAATGGCAAATGAAATTCAACACCAGCAAGTGCAGCGTACTTAATATTGGAAGAACAAATACTGTCAATATATACAGCATTAACATCAACCTAGAGAAGTCGACTTGTGAAAGAGACTTAGGGGTACTTGTAAGGCCGGACCTACGGCCTAGAAAACAGTGCGTTAATGTTCGAAATAAGGCAAATAGAGTATTAGGTTTTATATCTAGAAGTGTAAGTAATAAGAGTGCAGAGGTCTTATTGCAACTATATCTTGTGCTAATCAGGCCGCACCTCGATTATGCTGTTCAGTTCTGGTGCCCTTATTATAGAATGGATATCAATTCACTGGAGTCGGTGCAGCGAAGAATGACGGAAATGATTCCGGGACTTAGAACATAAGAATGGAGGAAACTGCAGCGGGCCTATTGGCCCATACTGGGCAGACCCAATTACACCCAACCCCTATCGCTCATATGTCCATCCACCCTATGTTTAAAGTTATCCAGCGTATTCGAGTTAATGATGATGTTTGGTAGCTTGTTCCACTCGTCCACTATATTTCCAAACCAATGTTTACCTATTATCGCGCCTAAATCTAAATTTGTCTAATTTAAAACCATTGTAACGAGTTCGCTCCTGGTTGGATAGTTTGAGTACCTTGGTAATGTACCTTTTGTTCAGTCCTGACTTCCATTTATACACCTCTATCATATCGCCCCTCACTCTACGTCTCTCGAGGGAGTGCAAATTAAGATGCTTTAACCTGTCTCTGTACTCAAGGTTCCTAATGCCCGGGATTAGTCTTGTCATTCTCCTCTGCGTTCTTTCCAAGGATTCTATATCCATTCTGTAATACGGTGACCAGAATTGAACTGCATAATCCAAGTGAGGTCTCACAAGCGCAAGATGCTGTATAGTTTTAAGATGACCTTGCTAGTCTTGTAACTAACACTCCTTTGTATGAACCCAAGTACTGTATTAGCCTTGTTTCGAACAAATACACATTGCTTACTTGGCTTAAGCTTCCTGTTTATCATTACTCCTAAATCTTTCTCGCAATCGGATTTCTCGATAACACCGTTGTTCATCTGGTATCTGGTTTCCCTCTTTACCTCCTGTACTGAGCACTTAACATTTGTCCTCAATGAATTTCATCTGCCATTTTTCAGACCATTCGAAAAATTTGTTTAGATCTTCCTGTAGTTTTGCGGAGTCCTCGTCAGATTTAATTACACGCCCTATTTTAGTGTCATCAGCTAAATTAACTTACGTTGCTGTCTATGATTATATCTATGTCGTTTATGTATATAATAAACAATAATGGTACAAGTACTGAGCTTTGGGGAACTCCACTAGTGACGTTGCTCCAACGGGATTTAGTGCCGTTAATGCTCACTCGCTGTTTCCTGTCCAGTAACCACGCCCTAATCCATTTGAGAATATCTCCTTTAATGCCATGACCCTCCACTTTTCTTATTTGTCTTTCGTGGGGGACTCTGTCGAAGGCTTTGCTAAAGTCGAGATATATCACATCATAATTGTGCCCCTCGTCCACTGATTCGAAAACTGATGAAAAGAATGTTAATAGATTAGTTAGACATGAACGCTCGCTTGTGAAGCCATGTTGGGAATCATTGATCAACTTGTGCTTTTCCAGGTGATTTCGAATAGAGTTTGAAATGATTGCTTCCAGTAATTTGCCTACAATTGATGTTAAGCTGATTGGACGGTAGTTAGAGGATAGTGAATGATCTATCTCCCTTGTTGAAAATCGGTATTACATTTGCTATCCTCCAGGATTCTTGTACTACACCCGTTTTTAAGGACATTTTAAACGATTTTGCTAAGGGCATACTAAGCTCTTCCTTACATTCCTTTAATACTCTGGCAAATATCTCATCGGGACCTGGTGACTTATTAGGCTTTAGTTTGTCTATTTGCTTACTAACATCGTTACTAGTCACTACTATATTGCTTAATTAATTTTGTTCACTATCTCTGTATAGAGTCGGTGCCTCGGGTATCATGTTTAAATTTTCGGTGGTGAAAACTGTTGAAAAATATTTATTCTGTCGTAATGGACCTTCGAATCTTGTTTACTTCGCTGATATCCACCTCCCCTGTTGCGTTCTGAGCTATTATGTGGTCCGTGAGGGCTGCTGTGAGCTTAACTGAGTTTTGATGATCGGTGGCAGCAATCTCCTCTGGATTGGTTAGTCCTATTCCTCCCAGTCTCGGTGGTAGTGCAAAGAGTGATCCTTCTGCTGGGGTTAAGTGAGGGTGTTTCACTAATTTGGGAATGAAATTGACGCTGCCAAAGTGATAAGTTGCAGCAACCGTTTCTGCAAGTACCAGAGAATTTATAAAAAAAAGTAGCTATAGCACAGGAGGTGGGCGCCTCGAACTGGTTAACTACGTTACCGATAAGGGCAAATGGTTTCATTCTCAATAAACAAGAATTTACAGATGCCAATGCTCTAAGGTACGGTAGGCCAGTAGAAGGTTTGCCCTCCCAATGCGTGTGTGGCTCTTCCTATGACGTCGATCACGCCATGGTGTGCAAGAAAGGGGGCTTCATATGCATGAGGCATGACGAAGTAAGGGATCTCTCAGCAAATATGTTGAAGGAAATCTGCCGTGATGTCAGAGTAGAACCGACCCTCCTTCCATTGGACGGTGAGATTTTCCAACATAGGACTTCAAACACATCCAACGAACCCCGTGTTGACGTCAGTGCTCAAGGATTCTGGACGCGGGGACAGAGAGCCTTCTTCGAAATCAGGATTTTTGAGCCCATTGCCGCATGTCACCATTACTTAGCACATAGATTTGCTACTCCTCCTATCAAGATAGGTAAAAGAAACTAAACTTGCATTCCCTAGAAAGACAAAGAGTGCGGGGAGATATGATAGAAATATTTAAGTGGTGAAAGGAGTCAATAAAGGAGATATAGATAAAGTTCTTATAATTTTCGAGCAGGATAGGACTCGCAGCAACGGATTTAAGTTGGATAAGTTTAGGTTTAGGAGGGAGATAGGAAGGAACTGGCTCACAAATAGGTGGACGAGTGGAACAAGCTTAGCAACTTTGTAGAAAGTGCTGGAACGCTGGAAAGTTTTAAAAGGAGGCGAGATAGATCCATGGATGATAGAGAGTGGTGGTAACTCTCGACAGGAGCTGCCATGCACAGGCCAAGCGGCCTATTGCAGACTCCTTATTTTCTTACGTTCTTATTTATTATTATCACACATTTTATATATATATATATATATATATATATATATATATATATATATATATATATATATATATCACACCAGGGACCTGCCGACCATGCCATGTCTGTGGGCATGGTGTTCCCTGGTCCCATACAGTAGGTCGAGGGTTCGAGTCCTGGCTGGTGAGGTCGTTGATTATATCATATGTTCTAAGTCCGCGTGTTATATGGACTAAAAATGAAGTATATATATATATATATATATATATATATATATATATATATATATATATATATATATATATATATATATATATATATATATATATATATATATATATATATATATATAAATATTGCTACATTTTATGAAGAAAGTTCTGGGAATTAGTCTTACAAGTTTTCACTTATCTGTGAGGGTTTCATTTACAAGTTTGTTTAGGTTGCTTTATACTTTTATAAGTCATATAAATCTTACCTCTCTGTAAATTATGCTGGTCCTCTTGAAGTGTGTAATGATGGATGAATTAAATATTATGACCTTCTGTACGTTCATGGTCGACACCGTCATATTGTTCTGGGTGGAAGCCATGACCGCCTTGTGCCAGAAATACAAGTAGTGTTTATCGTCTGTGTCGAAGTGTACAGTCTTCCCTCGTTGAAGAGGCCGACATCCTGCAGCAGAAAACATGAGGCGTAGAAATTATTTTGAAAAATATAAATACACTGAATAGTTAACTTGTGCATTTTAAAGATGTTTTCTCGTTCGGTTATATTTCATTTTTCATCACAAGTTCATTTATTTATAAGTTCATTTCAGTGAAGGTTATAATGACTGATAATATAAGCGAAGTGTTTTGATTCTAATTCTAATGAAACCACGGTTCTTAAAGCGACCTGAGGAAGAGGCCGCTGAGAGGTAACAAAATCACTGTTAGCAGTCTCCTTTTAACAGGGAACTGTAACATATAATGTTGTCTTCAACCCTTGCCCCACCTGACACACCTCATTACAGAAAAAAGTGAGTAATATTACAGGTTTATTAGAGATACACCTTTTATCCACTTATGTTTGTATGTGGCTCAGACCACTGTGACACAGATCATCAGATCCAAACTCCTTTCACGTCGCCCTAAAACGGCGAGGGCAACAAGCCTCCACAAGAAATTTTAACACAAAGAGACTGGAGGATCCAGCGTAGCACATGCTTTCAGAGAGCAGCTTGAGGATAGGCTTATAAACAACCCAAATCCAAGTGCCGAATGGGGTATCCTCGACGCAGTCATCATAAAAACCTGCAGCAAGACTCTCGGCCAGATCGAAAGAATACACCAGGATTGATTTGATGAAATTGATCCGGAAATCAACGAACTCATCGATAGTAAACTTTGATAGTTTAAAAAAAAACAGCTGAGAGAAGGGGTATCACGTTTGGGGGTGAATTACATGACCTCACACAATGTTCCCACAGAGGACGACTTCACTTCACCTGGTGACCTGACAACGATAACCTCACAAAATATGACGGTTGAGGATGACCTGATCACGAGATCTGAGGTTGACGAGTTCCACAACAATTTGAATAATGAGTTACTTAATGCACAAAGGCAGAACATACCATTCAGAAAACTTAGATCAAACAACAATCACCCTAAATGGATACATAATTTAAAAAAAAATATTATTGGACAAAGGAAGGCTATAGGTACGAGAATAAATCGTGGTGAAGTTTACCTCCGAGATTATTATAAGGTATTGGCCAATAGGGTTAAGACCGAGATAAGAAAAGCAAAGATGAAGAATAAACTGAAGGTAGCAAGGGAGGCGAAATCAAACCCCAAGGGATTCTTCCAAATGTATCAAACTAAAACACGGGACAAGATTGGACCAATACAGTCAGATACCGGCGAGCTAAAGGATAACGACGGAGAAATTAGTAATAATCTGAACAGATATTTTTCAACAGTTTTCACCACCGAATATTTAAACGTGATACCCGAGGCACCGACTATATACAGAGGTAGTGAAGTAAATGGATTAAGCGAGATAGTAGTTACTCGTAACGATGTTAATGAGCAACTTGTAGGTAGTAAGCAGCTACCAAACGGGGAGGTACTACCGCCTGGGAAGTTATTGGAAGCATAATGTGTTGTCTAATGGTGGACCCTGCTGCCATATGGCATCACGAAAATTGTGACCTAGTCCCAGGTTGCTGATCTGACTTTCTGCCTCATTACACACAATTGCAAGGTCTCAATTGCTTCTCTTACCATTGACAACACAGTCAGTCAGAGCACCGAGATAAGAGAGCCGTGGGCTCTGAGGTTAACAAGGAGATTTAGGGCAAGGTATAGGTAAGAAGTGGGAAGTACAGAAGAAGAATGGTAGCAGGTGGGCTTTCCATCTTGTGGAGGCTGGTTTGTGGCTTAACCAGTGACAGGCGTCCCTCAGTCCTGCAGGGGCAAGGGAGGCTAGATAAGCTAAGATAAGCTAGTTTAAAGTGTGATCCAAGGGAATGTGCTGTTTTAGGGTGTGTACCCAAACGTTTATCCGTGTTCTAATTTTCCTACACCGTGATTTCATTGTCCACTATTTAAGGAAAACTTTTAACAAAGTCGGCTTTGGAATTTGAGAATTTACACAATTGTAGCCAACGAGAATTTGATGACTAGAGGAGCAAACAGCCAACATGTATACTGTACTGTACTATACTGTACTGTACTGTACTATACTGTACTGTACTGTACTGTACTGTGAGACATTATATTCATTTCATATATATGACTAACATACGTTAATTATTGTTCTTGTCTTATGTTAAAATAATGTAGTGTGTTTCTAAGAAGTCGAAGGAATATGACTATATTCACAGAAACGTTGACTACCGCTCCTATCTCTCTCTCTCTCTCTCTCTCTCTCTCTCTTACCTTCACTGTCTGCCGCACAGCCCAGCAGAGAACATGCTATCATCATCGGTACCAGAAGAATCATTTTCATCCTTAGCGCTCACTTCACTATCTTCGCGTTCACTTCAGTGTTTTGGTGTTTAATTTCTCATCATGGCATTCACTCAGTGTACATTTTCAGCTAAATGCTCGCTTCACTATCCTTCACTCGCCCTGTGCTGCGTCAACTGACCTTTGATTTATCTCAGGATATCCTGCACTGGCGTCGCTTGGCTGCGTGCGCATGAATCACATGTTGTGCCCAGGCTTGGAGTAATTGTAATTGAACGTCATGGTCAGGCTGTTATGGTTCATACACGTCATGGTCAGGCAGTTATGGTTCATACACGTCATGGTCAGGCTGTTATGGTTCATACACGTCATGATCAGGCTGTTATGGTTCATACACGTCATGGTCAGGCTGTTATGGTTCATACACGTCATGGTCAGGCTGTCATGGCTCATACACGTTATGGTCACAGATAAAGGTCACAGGCAGGATATCTCTGTCTCTCCTTCAACAGCCACACATAGGATGGGTTCCTTAAAGCCTTGTTCACAAAAGTCAGTTACCCTCTTACTGGTTCCTGTACCAGTAAAACCCAAAGAATTATTGTTTTTCCCCCAAAATACTTTTATACGTAAAGCAAAATAACGGGACAACTTTGAAACTACCTGTGTCATCTCACTAAAATAATTTGCTAATGTCGTTTCGTTTGTTTGTAAGCTGAATAATCTACTGTAAGTCTTATCATCTGCCTCAATGAATCAATAAGCTTAGTGTCAAAAGGTTTAATAGCAAAGTAAACGTACTGAGTTATTCTTTGAACTGAACTTGTCACGTTTTAATCTTATGTTTTAAAGTCAGTGATGACGAGTTTCCTTTGATTTTGTTTTTATTTCCGGATCCTGTTTTTGTTGTTGTCTGTATCCATTTATCTCTGTTTTATCGTTTTTTCTCGGTTAGCTTTTTAATCTTCTTAGACTTTTATTTTCACTCCAGGACAAAATTAATTATCTGTGCTTTTTTTTTAGTCTTATTTATTCATTATTCTAGACATCTATTTTTTATTCTTTTTTTAATTTTACATTTCATTTTTATTTCGTCTCATCAATTGTAGTTTCCATCATTCTGAGTGGCGTAGCGAGGTGGAGGGGCGGCAAAATTGTTCCCTAGATATATAATTAACCGACTCATTTTTACTCTTTGACGTGGAGTTGTGGGTGACTACTGAAAGGCATCAGTAATCGGTTCAAATATAATAATATTAATAATTATGGATTAATTCCATGCCCAGACATCCCTTGCCCCCACGAGTAATAGGGACCACAATGTTGTTTGTTGCCAGACGTCCGCAGAGGTCAGTGCTGTGTGCTCACCACTCAAGACCCCAGTATTTGTGTTTTGCTATAGGTAAGTAAGTTGTATGCATAATGCCTAATCATGATCTACATGCAAGAGATAATATTTCGTCAAATTCTTGCAAATTATTCAAGGGATAAAAGATTGTTTTTCAGAAGACAACAGACTTTGATAACACCGGTCAACACAATTTTTCTGGCACAAGGTTTTTAAACGGATTTTAAGTACATTTGGGGTGCAGAATCCAAATATGACTTTGGTTTTTGTCTATCACATCAGCTTTTTGAGATATACCATATTGCACTTTTGCTGGGAAACGTAAACTTTTGGATCAAAATTGACGGTTTAAACATGTACAGTATACATAAATTTTTTAGCATTATAATTTGTATTTTTCTATAACCAAAAATTTTTAATATCAAATTGGAAAGTTAATGCACATATAATATTTAAATGTAACATTGAAGGGTGAAAAAAAACAATTAATGTACGGTAGAAATAGTGCAAGTATTAAGATCAAGTTACAGTTACATAAACTTCCTCTTTTTGGCCGATCTCTTATGTACAGCTTCTGGAATGTCTCTCATCAAACTCCAGCAGTAGTCCGCCATCATGTTCGAGTCCCATCGACCTTGGTAACGTTCTTCCATTACTTTAATGTCTTGATGAAAGCGCTTCCCTTGCTCCTCGCTCACTTCTCCCAGATTTTCTGGAAACTCGTCCAAGTGACTGTGTAAGTAGTGAACCTTGATACTCATTCTGCATCCAAGTGCTTGTAAACTCAAGAGCAGCTCTTCCACAATTTCTTGATAGTTGTCCGCTTTCTTGTTCCCTAAGAAGTTCCGCACCACATTAGAGAAAGCATTCCAAGTTCTTGCCTGTGCCTCAGTCATTGTTGCAAGGAAGTGTGGATCTCTGAGTAGTGTTCTTATTTGAGGTCCATCAAAAATCCCTGCCTTTTTCTTCTCGTCGCTAAGACTTGGAAAAGTTGAGCATATATATCTGAAACACTCTCCTCTATGATCAAGAGCCTTGACGAATTGCTTCATGATACCAAGTTTTATGTGCAGAGGAGGAAGGACAATGTTTTTCCTGTCAACCAGAGGATCGTTAATGATATTCTTGTCACCAGGCGTCAAGCTATGTCTTGGTGGCCAATTCTTTTTCACCCAATGGTCTGCTGTAGCCCTGCTGTCCCAGTAGCACAGAAAACAGGGGTATTTTGTGTACCCTCCTTGCTGGCCCATTAGAAAGTTTACCATTTTCAAGTCCATACAAATTAACCATTCATAAGCATGGTATTGCAACCTCTCTAGAACAGTCTTAATGTTTTCATACTCTTCTTTAATTTGTACAGAATGTCCGATTGGAATTGAACCATACTTGTTTCCGTTATGAAGAACACATTTCAAGCTCCTTTTAGAACTGTCAATAAAAAGTCTCCAATCCTTACTATCATATGCTGGTAGTCCCATGGAGAGAAGAAGTCCTTCTACATCATTACAAAAAACAAGCTGGTCATATGAATGAAAGTACTTCCGCAGTTGCTCTTCTCTGTTGCGATAAAAGGAGACACTCGTGCCAGGTTTTAAGAGTCGTTTCTCTTGAAGCCTGAAAGCTAACAATTCAGCATACTGTTTTGGCAAATTTAGATCTCTGACCAGATCATTCAATTCTGACTGAGTAAACAACGTTGGCTTTTCACAATCTTCACCAGATGGCTTGAAAAGATCAGTCTCTTCATCTTCATCCGTAGAAACAGGTGAATTCCGGTCTATATCCTCAATCTCTGGTAGCTCAGTAAATTCTGGCACGTTACGTGATGGAGCAAATCTGAGATCAGATTTGGATTCAGCACCTTAAAGTTAGTAAAAAACAGTTAAAAGGTTTCATGCCAGAAAAAAAAATATTTTTTTGTAGACCAGTGTTATTTGTCAATCAAGTGATCCAATTCCCCAATTATGTAAATGTATATTTTCACCTTTCTGGTTGCCACGCTCTTTTAATAAATCGTGAATTATTATTATTATTATTATTATTACAAGCAACCCACCCCCCTCCCCCACACATACACACACACAGAATCAGTGTTCTAACAAATAAAGAGGGTCAACTAACGAAATTACAGGACTGCAATGATGCTCTAATATATGGTAAGTGATTATACATAACGTCCAAACATATTCTTATTCCCTGCACTGATGTCAGCTATTTAAGCCACTGATAGTTTAATTAACGCTAAAGGAGCAGTGTATAACTTCCATAACGTTACGGGTTCTATTGATGTTTCTCCTAGGGTTCGTTTGGCTGTTGTGGTAACAGTTGGTTTCCTTGTCAACAGCTGCGGTTGGTGTTCCAGAACCAATATGGTTATTACATCGGCAACGCTGTGGTGCCCAGCTTGCTCATGGCCACCATATGCTACCTCACCTTCTTCTTCGACCTCGACGACTTTACGGTATGGTATAACGTTGCTTACATTGTGGTGATTTACAGTACAATTATACATTGAGCTGAGTATATATATATATATATATATATATATATATATATATATATATATATATATATATATATATATATATATATATATATATATATATATATATATATATATATATATATATATATATATATATGTATATATATATATGTGTGTATTTGTTAATTGGCTGTAAACTGCCGAACTGGAATCAATATCTTGTTGATTGTGTAATTAACACAAATTATAACAGCAATTTACACGTAGTAGTTACATTTCTAATAACCGTGGGAACCTTAATGTGGTAATGGTAAACATTATTCCGGCTGAGAATAAAATGATTTTATAGGATGAGGATAGAACGTTGTCATGGTTTTGGGGTGGTTCGGTGGTAGTAGGAGTGGATTATATTATATAAGATAATAATATGTCATATTTCTTATTTCTTACCGTAGAGTCCGATACCTTCACACTGATTACTTACAGGAGATTATGGCGTATCTACGTAGAAGTTCACTCCACCACTCGACATTCCATGATTTATACTTGATAAATGATGATTTAATGAATTCATTTAATTTCCAACATCTATCTAAGTTACTGGTTATACTTTGTCATAACCAATCAGTCATTACCTTTAGTAATAATAAGATAGGATCACAGATACGGGCAGATAATTGCACTTACATTTATTTGTCAAGCTTCCATACAATGATTTACAATTTGCATGGATATATGATTCACTCACGTTCACGCTGTAATAAAATTAATCTTCTAAAAGAGAATTTTAACTTGGGGACACATGTGATTACTCTACTATGGGTATAACTTAACAGAGCCTTAATTCTTCAAGTGATACATTTACTGCCAGCCTGGATTGGTTGCGACAAAAGCAATCCAGGCTGGTCTATTGCACCTAGATGGTTAATTCAAGTCACGCTTACAGAGTTCTCCTGCACGACACCATGTGTGGTAACCCAAGAGTACCTTTTGTTGCTGTGGCCCGTGGAAAGAAGTCCTTGTGCGGAAGCCTGGTTGCAACAAAAGCAAGCTTCCACACGTGATATTTCCACGGGGATAACAACCTAGGTTAACACGCTTAGTCTCGTGTCGACCTTCCACGGCCATAACAACAAAAAGGTACTCTTGGTTTACCACACATAGTCTCGCGTCACTGAGTCACGGTAGACGGTTGTCGCGGCAAGGAGAACTGGTAAGCGTGAACTGAATTAACCATTTAGGTGCAATAGACCAGCCTGGATTGCTTTTGTCGCAACCAGGCTTCCACACGTGATATTTCCACGGGGTAACAATCCTAGGTTAACACACTTAGTCTCGTGTCGACGACGGTTCACAGG